TGCTGCCAAAGATGCCTATGGGTCAGCACCTAGAGCAGCAGCAGACTCATATCTGGGCTTACTGAAGGTTTTAGAACTAACTGAAACCAGATCTATGAATATTTTGAAAATGCCACTGGTGCTCACTGAGAGAGGCCGCATTTTAGGCGAATAGCACCAACGGAAACATCTAAAATATCTTTACATGATTCGGCACTTTGGGCCCCTCCTGAGCTCCACAGTGACCACCGGACTTCCGTATCCAAAAGGCAGAGTAAACGATAAAACTTGTGACTTATCATCATGAAAATCCTAGTCATGAGAAGATATTCTAAAACGATAAAAAAAAAAAGGAAAGAGGCTCCCCTACCCCTTGGTCCTGTTCTTCTCAAAGGACAGCATAAATGAAAAACAGTTTCATTTCTATCAAACACAGTGAAACTGTATGCGTGTCAGTAATACAGTATACCCACCCACTCTAATGCCACCACGTATAAGCCCTCTCCAGGGCTCCTATAAAAAGAAGCACTAATGGGGGACCAACAGTTAGCATAATGGCTATGTCGCTGAACTCCCATGTAGTCAACCACGGTTCAAGTCCCGGACCCGGTGGCTTAAACTCACGCCGGGCGCGTGTGTGTGCGTGCCCAAGATCCCGAGAGGAGAATGGAGGAAAAGGGATTGCGGCATGGCCATCCCCCCAGGGGGTGATTTCTCACTTTCTGTCTCTCTGTCTCTGTCTTTCTGGAGAGTGCACGTGCCCTATAGCAAAACCTCTCCAAAAAAAGAAGAAAAAAAAATAAAAGAAGCATTAGCATAAAGCTTCTGTAGAAAGAAATTTCCCCTATACAAAGGCATCTATCTTGCCTGCGATAAAATCCTAACATTCCTGCCAGTTTAACTTGGGCTACCTTTCCTCAACTCGGTTAGCTGCATATTCAGGCAGCTGATGTGACACCTTGTAAATAAGACCTATATACCAAGGGATATAGTTAAGGAAACAATTACTAAAAATACATGTGGTCACGTGAGTTCTTATCACTAACTACTGTATTTTTATTATTAATCAGTGTAGTCAAGCAAAGGGCCTGAAGAAAGATGAAAAAGAAATTCTCCTACTGACTTGCAAAATGGTGATACATATTATATGTTTCTGAGTCAGCCATTTAGATAACTAATTATCTGGTGAGTAGTTAAATGACCAAATTGGTGTCTCAATTAAGAACGATTCTTAACACAGATGTTTCTAGCCACTGGTCAGGGTGGTTTCAGTAATATTATCATATATTCTGAACAGCCTCGGAATAAAACCCTGAGATAAAAATACTCGGCACTGGGGACAAATGTACACACTGGGAGAATTAGACCACAGATATTACCATGTGCTCCAAATTATCGTCACAGCAAAACGAATTCAAAGGCATCCCCAGACAAAACAGGGAGGGAGCTGCCTCGCGCCTCAGTGCTGTGGCTCCTCCCGGCTCCCTCACCCCTCCACTCAACCTCCCTCTCTCGTGTGTTCTCTGTGGGGGCGAAGTTGGGCTGCTGGATTCTAACCATGCTTGTCCTCTTTCTTCCCCTCTAGTAAAACTCCCCTGTGCCATGGGCTGTCTCTCCAGGGCACGTATCTGAAACCAGCCACGGATGGATCGTATCTTTACTTAACCTGCCCATGGCCTTCGAAGCCTCTGTCCCTTCAGGAAACATTTACTGAGCATCTACTAGGCGCCAAGTAGTATTCCAGGTGCCGGGGCCAAAGCAATGGACAACACAGTCAAAAGCCCACCCCTCAACCTAGAGCAGGAAGACAGAAATAAGCAAGAAGTGTAGCGTGACCAGGGGTGACACATGCCAAGGAGAAGAAAGCCTGGGAAGGATAAGGAGCTCGTGGGAGGAAGGCACCGGGGCCGCCCACCAGTCACCAGCTCTCAGCTCACCACATTCGGCAGTCACCTGCATCTCACCTTGCTCTAGCTAGAGGGTGCACGTCTGCACACGACAGAGAGAGCGAGACCCCAGCGGGGCCTGGCCACGTCACAGTCCTTCCCTCCATTTCTCCCTCCCATCGGGTTTGGGGCACACACATGCACACGTGCCTGGTATGTTTTTCAAGCCACAGGGAGCCAGGATTCAGACGTGGGGTGCAGCTCCCTCTGCACAGTACGTAACATCTAGGCTTTGGGGCTGGCCCTGCATCTGAACATTTTTAAGCTCTTAAAAACTCCCCCCTAAAATGTAAAACAAAGCCTTTTTTCTAAAAACAAAGATTTTTAGTAAAAGGTTGGTATTCATAAATTTTATCTAAGTTCAAAGTGTGCCACCCTGCACTAAATAAATGAACGACACCGTATGAAAAGCTAAGTGGTTTTAGAAACTGTATGAACACATTCTTAAATGAGTTGCTGTTCATCAAAACAGTACTAAAAGGAGGATGGCTAAAAATATAACTTAACTTGTGGAGTAAAAAGCATAATTTTTTTTTAGGAGGAACAGGACAAATCCAAGCTTTATGATAGGAGGGAAGAAAAGTTCAAAGCTCATGGGGCCTGAAAAACTGCGAGGAGGTGGGTGGCAGGGAGGGTAAATGACAAGATACCATTCCAAAACCGAGCAGCTTCCCTTTTTATTAATGCTCAAGTCAATGACGACATTTCATAAACGAAATACAAATGAAAATGTCTAACTTGTATGTATAGTATATGTAAACATACATGTTCTATGGGTTGAATGCCTAGTCTAAATATGAAGAGAACAATTGGGTCTTTGACCTCAAAAATGAATTCAATGTTGGCATCACTGTTTCTAACTTATGGTGTTTGATATTTAACAGGAAGAATTGTGGACACCCAAGTCCTGTGTAGTCGTGGATTTCATGTTCAGATATAAATAGCTTTTAAGAAATAATCTGTATAATAAAATAAGTTTACTTTGAATTGCAGTACAGTCATTTTCTTCAATCAATAAAAATATTCCTTGATTATAAAGCAGCCTTATTTTGAAAATGTATTTCAGGAAAATAGCTCTAGCCATATCTGCAATACCATACTTTTTTTAAAAAGGCAACAAAGTGACAGGATTTAGATTTAAAATAGTATATTGCAAAATAGCTCAACATGTTATTTCTAAGCACAGGCAAGCTCCATTCTGAAGGATACTTTTAATCTTATAAAGCAAACTGTTTCAATATTTCTGTGGTTGTTTAAAGTCTAAATATTTACAATAAAAGATAAATTTTTACACATATAGGACATTAACTTCTAGACGCCTCTACAATACAAACCGTTTACATTATTGCATCACTCTATTATGAAGCTCAGTTTGTTAACACGTGCTCAAGAAGGAAAATAAAAACATGATACAGTTTCATAGCTTTATGGCAGGCTGAACTTTACATCTGGAAACATTAAGGAAACAGCAACTACAGCAAACATCGCACTAGTTCTTTGAGTAATGAAACAAATACCCAGAAATCATAAACAGTTAAATGAATAACTAAAACACCCCTCCTAACACATCTTAATTTGTTCTCTTCTGATAAGTACATTTTAAAAATGTTCTTAACATCCCAGGAGGAAAGGATGAAAAATTCTCCACAAAGATCAAAGTGCATGTTTTAAAAGTGCTTCGTGTGTGTGTGTGTGTGTGTGTGTGTGTGTGTGTGTGTGTGTGTGTGTGTGTGTGTGTGTGTGTGTGTGTGTGTGTGTGTGTGTGTGTGTGTGTGTGTGTATTACAAATCTATCCAATAAAGAAGTTAAATAAATATGTGCAAAGATTCTAATTATGACTTGAATTCATTAACCTTAATCATGGGCTTGTTGGACTTCATCCAGGTGAGGCAGTCAAGTGGCAGAAGAAAAAGCTGAGCTTGCACACTTCGTATGGGGCAAGAGCACTCACCCACAAGTCAGGAGACCCACACCTATTCTCACCTCTGGTAACCAGCTAGTTAGACCGTGGGTAAGACGGATTCGGCTCTAGGCACCAGGCAAGAGGCAGCGCTAGAGCAGCTGCGGGGCCTTCCAGCTCCAAAACTCTAAGAATAGTTTAGATGAGGCATTCCCGAAAGGGCAAATCATTTTACAAAAAATATTTTAAAATATACTAGTCATTTAGCTTCTATTCTCTTATTGTACTTATTCATAATAAAGCAGAGAAAGAAAGAAAAAAAACTCCAAAAAGACTTGACAAAGGTCGTGTGAACTTTATAGAGTAACCAAAGCTAGTGTGACCCTTCACAATTACCCAGGATTATGTGCGAAAAGGAAACCGAGCAAGCCGAGCAAAGCATCAGCAGGTCACGCAATGGCACAGGTTTCTTCTAAGTCCCAGAATTTTCTTGGGACTTAAAGCTTTAAAAAGTACTTATTCTTCAATCGCTTTTAAAGGACCATGATGCCTGGAATTCATACTCGTGGGTTTTTAAAGGAGTCTCTCTAAACTGTTGCAAATGTTTTCATGAAGGTAATTCTACGTGGCAATTTTAAATAATGGGTACATAAACTTGCCATGGGCTCTGTTCTGCACCAAGTCTACGCACATGAACACGGGTATGTATATTTGAGCTCGTTTAATGTTTTAGAGGTGAAGCTCAGCAGTTCTCATCCACGAGCTTCGACCCATTAATGCCCCGATAGGTGACTCTGCTCGGCCTGACTAGCACTCCGTGGTTTGGCTTACAGGTGAAATAGCGCTTGTCGCCCACTGAGCCATCATTTTTGCCCTTGGCGCTTCGGAGCTCAAGTCCAAGCCAGATACCGGAGGCGAAGTCGGTGGGGCCCACATACCTAACGGTCCCCATCTCGTTTGAGCTCGTGAGCAGGACCTGAGACCCCTCGTGCAGCTTCACGCTCCCCTCCACGCCAGCCGCGGTGGCCGCGCTGCTCCAGCTGCGACGCAGGGCGGTTCTGGATCTGTTCAGGAGGAAAAAGTCAGACAAAGCCTTAATGCAAAAGCCACCAACGTGACGTGTCCAATCCACTTCCACGGGCACACCAGAATCCAGACTGTGGTTCTCAAAAGCGAATGCCTTATGTGTACTCCTTCCCTTTTCTAAAAGTCTAATTATAATTAGCATCATTAAAACATACTTTTAACATTTTAAAAGATTTTTTTGTTTTAGCTATTTTAATACTACCCTAATCTGAACTTAAGATTTCACTTGCAATTTCTACATATAAACATAAATATTAAAAATATATAGTTTTATATGTGTATGCACACACACACACACACACACTAGGACTTCAAAAAGTCCATGGAGGGAACCAGCAGTTAGCGTAATGGCTATGTCGCTGGATTCCCACGTAGTCGACCGCGGTTCGTGTCCCGGACCCGGTGGCTTAAAACTCACGCCGTGCGCGTGTGCGTGCGTGCCCAAGATCCCAAGAGGAGAATGGAGGAGAAGGGATTGCGGCGTGACCATCCCCCCTGGGGGGTGATTTCTCGCTTTCTGTCTCTATGTCTCTCTCTGTCTGTCTGGCGAGCGCACGCGCCCTACAGTGAAAATCTCTCAAAAAAAAAAAAAAAGTTCATGGAAATGTAGAATTAAAGTATGAATTTCTTTGGGGTACAAAAACATCATTGAAATCTACACATTATTTCTTCATAATGTGCATTTGCTGTGAACTTTTTGAAGACCACACATATATACTGTATGTGTGTATGCGAAAACATCAATTAGAAAAAACATACACTCATATCTATTTAACAGCTACTAATATTATCAAATAACAAAAGAAAAAGAACCTGGAATTTGGGCGGTGATAGATTTGGGTCACTTTTTAAAATATGTATTTATGTGAAAATAAATTTTAAAAGCTATTAACCCATAACTTCATGGGGGGGATACATATATGCCTACTAGGTGTGAGTTCTGGTTATCCTTATGGGTGAGCGTCCTCCTCGCCACTGACAGTAAAGGGGGTCTGAGTTGCTCTGAGCAGGACTCTTTTCCTTCCGTTTTCCCCAAACATAACCTCACCGCAACAAACCACTGATGTGCCAGGCACCTGCCACCAACCTGACCTACTGACAGAACCACTGGGACTCAGCAATGGACCTGCCCAAGGCCCCAGCCAACCCCGCCCCAGAGCTCCCCCACTGCCAGTGGGAGAGGTGGATCCCACTCCTGTTCACCTGCAGTAGAAACACCATCAGGGTCTTGTTGCCCCGTGACCTGAGCTCTTCCAAAATGGCTATCCCAAACCACCCATGCTACCTGGAGCCCTCTACCCTCTGTCCCTTGCCACCTCTCCACCAAAGGAATGACCCCCACCCTCACAGTAGACGCAATGCAGAATCCGCTACCGAAAGCTCATGGAATCTTCTTGTGAACAGACTCTAGATCCCACTTATTGTACATTTTATTCCACTCTCCATGTGTTTAATGCACTGTCACCCACGATGTCTCATTTACTCACATTAACCACACTGTATGGATAGAAAACTGAGGCTCAGAGATTTATCCTAGGCTGTATTTTCCAGTAAGTGATATAATTTCAATTAGAAAATATCTTTAAATTATTCTTTACCATGTCAAATGCACGAATATAATAATAAACAAATAAACATGTAATACCTATAAGAAAAAGCATAAATCCTTGGGACCAGCAGTTAGCGTAATGGCTATGTCACTGGACTCCCATGTAGTTGACCGTGGTTTGAGTCCCGGATGCAAGGGCTTAAACTGACGCGGGGTGCATGTGCATGCATGCCCAGGATCCTGAGAGGAGAATGGAGGAAAAGGAATTGCGGCGTGACCATCCCCCCTGGGGAGTGATTTCTCGCTTTCTGTCTCTCTGACTCTCTGTCTGTCTGGTGAGCACACACACCCTATAGCAAAAACCTCTCAAAAGAAAAAAGAAAAGCATAAATCCTTACTGAAGAATAAAAGAAAAATGAAAGACCTGTTTCTAGATAGAAATATATCTATGTTAATACTCCAAATTAGTTCTCCCCAAATGAGTCATTTTTACAAGCTGACAGAACTTACTGCTAATTTTCACATAAATAATAACTATCATTTCTTGAGCACTTACTGTGTAATCCTTCACATTCCATTGTCTCACTCAATCTCACCCAAACCAGTGAAGGGCTATTACTTCTTCCTCCTGACAGAAGTGGGGTTCAGAAACAGTAAGCCCAGGGCCAGTAGGTGGCGTGGTTGTTAAGGCGGCTGGACTCCCACATGGCTGACCGCGGTGAGAGTCCTGGACCTAGCAGCTTGTTTTCTCACTTTTCTTCTCCCTCTCTGTCTCTCTCTGGTCAACTTAAAATATATATAAAAAAATAAAATAATGACAACAAATAAAATTAAATTAAAATAATTCTTAAAAAAAAAAAAAAGAAAATAAACAGTAAGCCCAGCGTGTAAGGTCAGAGTGATGGTAAAAGTAGAGCCCAGTCACACCCAGGCTGTGTGAGCAGACAGGACAAGCTCTCACTCACAGCCATAATGGGAGAAGGAAACTGAGAGCAGGAAACTGAGAGAAGGAAAAAAAATGATGATAAGGCAGGACCAGCAGGTGGCATGGTGGTTAAGTCACTGGACTCTCACGTGGTTGACCGCGGTTCAAGTTCCAGATCCAGCAGTTTGAAGCTCACACCAGGCATGTGTTCGTGGGTAAAATCCCAACAGGAGAATGAAGGAAAGGGGATTGTGGTGTGGCCAGCCCTCCTGGTAGGAGGGACGACTTCTCACTTTCTGTCTCTCTGGGGAGTGCTGCCCTCTAGCAAAATTCTCTCAAAAAAAAAAAAAAAAGAAAGAAAGAAAGAAAAATAATAATGAGACAAGATTTGCATTGCCATAATGTTTAATTATCAAATTACAATAGTGACAACAATGCAGGTCTGTCATAAGAATATACATTTAAAAGACAGAAATGTCAAAAAATTATAAATACAAAAGGACTTCCAAAAGTTTATGAAAAATGAAATTAGGAACCAGCAGTTGGCATAATGGCTATGTCGCTGGATTTCCATGTAGCCGACCGCAGTTCAAGTCCTGGACCTGGTGGCTTAAACTCACACCGTACGCGTGTGCATGTGTGCTCAAGATCCCAAGAAGAGAATGGAGGAGAAGAGAATGCAGTGTGGCCCTCCCCCTTGGGGGGGGTATTTCTCATTTTCTGTCTCTCTGTCTCTCTCTGTCTTCAGCAAGTGCACATGCCCTATCACAAAAACCTCTCAAAAAGAAGAAAAAGAAATTAAAAGTTTATTTCAGAGCAAAAAATATTTTAAAATTTATGTCTAGTTTTCTCATAATATGTGTTTATTAACTTTTTAAAGAACCCTAGTAAACATTATTTTATCTGTGATAAAAAGTAAAATTTCAAAGCCATAAGAAAACAATGAATGCTGAATTAGGGATGCTATAAAAATTAGTTAATTGTGGGACCAGCAATTGGGCGTAATGGCTATGTTGCTGGACTCCCACGTAGTCAGCCATGGTTCAAGTCCTGGACCCGGTGGCTTAAACTCACGCCAGACATGTGTGCGTGCGTGCCTAAGATCCTGAGAGGAGAATGGAGGAGAAGGGATTGTGGCATGGTCAACCCCCCTGAGGAATGATTTCTCACTTTCTGGCTCTCTGTCTCTGTCTTTCTGGCGAGCACAGGCGCCCTATAGCAAAAACCTCTCAAAAAAAAAAAATTAATTGTATGGGAGGAAAAAAAATGTGACTCTTACCCTATTTTAAAATAAATTCCAAATAGATCAAAGAGTTAATGCATAGACTGAAAAAAACAGAAGACCCAGAAGAAAATCAGACTGTTATTTATATGCTCTCTCGTGCACATGCACACACACTTGCATACACACAGATACAGGAGGAGGGAGTTATAGAAACATACTGAAAAGTTTGGCATCTATTATTAAGTTATTATTGGTAGGGGTTTTTTCCCATTTATTAGCATGTCATAAAAATGTTTCCATATCACAGTAAGGTCTTCAAAAACAATGTAAAAGTCATACCAAATAAAGCTTTTATTAAAGAACGTGGGGATATATAAGATACGTCAAGGGGGAAAGCCTTTGAAAGGATATATGGAGTATGATTCATCTAACTTTGCTTACAATGTAAGGCTCATGGGCCAGCTCCACTGCCTAGGGGTTAAGGGGGCAGAACCCCACATGGCCAACTGAGGTTCAAATCCCAGCCCCGAGAGCCAAAAAAACACAACAGGCATCAGGTGCCTGTATATACGTGCCCAATGTCCCACCAGGACAGAGAAAGGGAAGAGCACAGATCGTGGTGTGATCGCACCCCACTGGGGGGTACTTTATCCGCTCTTTCTCTCTCTCTCGCTGCCTCCCTGGCAAGCACATGCGCCCTCTGGTAATTAAAAAACATTCAGGTACATGCATTAGGGAAAAAAATTGAAAAAGCATATAGCAAAATGCTGAAAGTAATTGATCGCATGTGGGGGACAAAACTACAAATGATCTTTAGCCACAATTACTTTTCTTAATTTTTAAAGACTGTACAATCAACTTATACAATCAAAAAGGTTTTGGGTTTTTGGGGTTTTTTCCTAAGGTTTTTGCCATAGGGCAAGTGTACTCAATGGAGAGAGACAGAGAGACAGTGAGAGGGAAAGTGAGAAATCACCCCTGTGGTGATGGCCATGCCACAATCCCTTCTCCTCCTAGGATTTTGGACATGCATGCACACATGCCTGCCGTGATTTGCAAGCTATCAGGTCTAGGATTCGAACTGCGGCCGGACAAGTGCGAGTACAACACTTATACCACCATGCCACCTGCTGATCCCCCAAAAAGTTTTTAAAGAAACATGTAACAGTTCTCTTTCGCTCACACTGGGGCAAATTTCTCTCTGCCTCAAGTCCATTAGGTTTCTTACCCAGGAATTTTTCATCAACTCTGACTGTGAATGTTCCATGTTTCTTCTGGAAGCTCATTTATTTCCATATAAATATGCAAGAAAAATTTGTATAGCGTTTGGTAAATATCAGTTCATTCACTTTCCCAGCACATATTCTTGAGAATGCATCACGCTTCCAGATTAATAACAGTGCGGCACACAATCACCTCGGTCCCCTCGGCAGAGGGTCATCCAGCCTTTGTACTGTCTGTCTTACCCCTTAGATAAGGGACAGACTTCCTAGCCAGCACCTCAGTCTCTTTTGTTCCTGAGAACTGTGATCACCAGACATTTTGATCACATGCTCTATAATGAAAAATTAATAAATTTTAAAGCCTATTACATATCCTTAATAAAAGCGTAGCTGTATTTTTTTAATCAGGTAACTAGTGTCAATGTGCATAAACATTAGTAAAGCTTAATTCTTATTTTATAGAAAATAAATAGATAAGTGCTGGTCCCCCTCACGTCAGCAGACCACCTCCGTGTAACCATACCTGCTAGGCAATTCCCAGGGGTCACACTCCTTTTTCTCCTTCCCTTGCTTCTCTATACCATGTTCTCTTCCACTCACCAGCATCTGGTCTCTGATTCTGATACCTCTGCCCTTCTAGAATCCTTTATATCCTGGTTATCTCTTCTTAGCAATTTCTTCCATTCTGCCTAAGAACTCCTGAATATCTTCAATAAACTGATGCATAAAGTTACTGCCTTTAAACTCTTTAAACTACTCAAGTGAGACCAACTTCAAAATTCTCAAAATTGGTGATAATTTTGAAGAAGGAAAAAAAAAAAAAAAGAAAGAAAGAAAACCACCCAACCTCTAAGCAGTACCTAACAGTTCCTTAGGAAAATCCAGGGGTCTCAAGTGAAATTGTAGACCTTTGTGAAGCCCCCTGAGACCTCGGTGCCAGACAACTGTGTAAATGATCTGCATCTCTGCTCAGCTGAGCATCAGGTGCTCACTCTCGGGCTCTGATTTCTAGAAGGTTTTAGGGCCCCGCTATTTAAGCAAGTGCACTTCCCTAGTCAGCCAGCCTTTTCCCCAGGGTATTATCCATAGATTAATTGGCAAGGTCTTAAAAAAAAAAAAAAGAAAGAAAAGACCTCTTAAGTGTGTTCATGTCGGTAAATTCAGTTTACAAGCTGTAATGATGTAGTTATTGAATGTATAAAATAAATTTTAAAAAGAAAAGAAAAAAAAAAGATCTCTTTACCAATCAGTCTAGAAGAGCTTCTAAAAGTAAAAAAGCTTCAGAAAATCATTGAGGGTAGTAAAATAAGTCTGGGGGGAATAAATATAAAAACAAAAAAATAAAAGAGGGCATTCTGTCTACAAAGAAAAAAAAGCTTTCGGGGGCAGTATATTCTACAAGGGGAACCAGGAACAATTTTAAAGTAATTTTAAGATTATTTCATGTAAATAGGCCTTATATTTCATACATTGCTAACACTATCAAGTAAAATCTCTGACTAGGTAAATAAATAGAATTTAAAATCAATCCACTCTACTCAATGACAACACAAAACATAAATTCCTCCAACTTTTATTAGCAGTACTAACCTCTTTGAAGAGAAAATATATGCAATGAACTATTTTTAGTCACTGGTGATATTTTTAATTGAGTTTGCAAAGGAGGGAGGAAGAATTCTTCACGATATGCTCATCACACCTTTTCTCCTAAGTGTTAAAATTCTACTGAGTAACGTCAAAGATACAAAATCCCACTTTTCTTCCTTCACAGAATCCCATCACGTTCATCTTGAAAGGTGTTTTTCTAAATCTTCTTAATACTCACTTGGCAAAAGCATTTCTTCTGTTAATCTCTTTTTGGGAAGAAGCAGAAGTTGTGCTGAAACTTCTCCTAAAACCTACATAGGAAAGTTAAGTTTAGAAGAGGAAAAATCATCACACATCTTTATTAAAAGCTATCTTTCACCATTTCTTCTCAGGGTGCTCTACTATACCAGTGTGTCTTTGGAAACAGAAAGCAAAGAACATGAGCATGAGGGGGGCTTCAAAAAGCTCACAGAAAAATGCAATTAAAGTGCCAGTTTATTTTGGTGCAAAAATTTTTGAGGGGCCGGCCGGTGGTGTAGTGGCTGAAGTGCTGGACTCCCACATGGCCAACCATGGTTTGAGTCCCAGACATGAGAGCTTGCTTTCTCACTTTCCCTTCCACGTGCTCACTCTCTCTCTCTCTGTGTGTGTGTGTGTGTGTGTGTGTGTGTGTGTGTGTGTGTGTGTTTGTCTCTCTCTGGTCAAATTAAAATAAATAAATAAATAAATAAAATTAGAATAATAATTCTTTCAACAAAAATGTTTTAAATCCATTCATAGTTTTTTCATAATATATATTTTCCATAAACTTGTTAAAGATACCTCCCTCATATATATACAAAATATAAGTGTAGTTAAGATTTCCTGATGAATTTTTATTCATATTCCTAATCAAACTATGCACATATCTGAATAAGTTAATATCAAGATATTATTTCTGAAGGTTTTCATTATAAAATTTATTGAAGACCAAACAGAATTTAATTATACTTTGACAAAGTTGATTCTTATTTCTATCAAATAGTACTCTTAACAATCACATTTAAAAAAAAAGGATAAAAGTGTTTTAAAACACTATCATTAAAGATATATCACTTATAAAATAATGAACAATAAACCTCAAGCTTATGATTATTAGCATCTCCAAATTATAGGTTTTTTAGACAAAGAGAAAGAGAGACTACACAACAGGTAAAACCAAAAAAAAATTTTGAGAAGTTTTTGCCTTAGGGCAAGTGCGCTCACTGGAGAGAGCAAGAAAGAAACAGAGACAGTGAGAGGGATGTGAGAAATCACTCCCCGGTGAGGGGAGAGATGGTGATGGCTACACTGCAAGCCCTTTTCCTCCATTTTCCTCCCAAGATCTTGAGCATGCACACGTACACACCCGGCATGATTTTCTTTATTTTTTTTCTTTTCTTTTTTTTTTTTCAAGAATTTTATTTAACTTTATTTATTATTATTATTTTCCCGTTCAGAGGGAGACAGAGAGAGAGAAAGGGAAAGTGAGAAAGCAAGCCACCAGGTCCAGGACTAGAACGTTGATCGGCCATGCGGGAATCCAGTGCCTTTAACCACCACGCCACCTGCCGGCCCCCCCATCATGATTTTCAAGCCACCAGGTCTGGGACTCAAACTGCAGTTGACCAGTTTAAGAAAACATTGCAGAGAACATAATTAAGTGACACAACCGCTATGCCATCTGCTGGCCCCTCAGAAATGTTTTAAAATGAAACAGAATTTTCAGTTCTGGCAGTTCTGGTAGACCAAATGTGCCGAATAAATCTCTACTGAAACAACTCTAACTTAAAACAATTATAACTTTTTAAATACTATAGAACTAACACAAAATACATGATTTCAAAAAGCTAAGCCCAAAAAGCAAAACCATGAGAGGTTACCAAGCACCAGGGCAATCTGCCATGTTATGCCACGAGGGTTTCCAGTGAATTCTAGAGAACTTGGACTTCTGCCTTACTGGCTGCACAGATGCCAGGGAAGGAATTAAGCCCCAGGGCCTGCCAAATGGGAATGCTCACAACACACTCCTGGTGAAAGCAAGGATCCCAAGCAACTCACTTTCAGTGAAAGGATAAATGAGAAGCAAAATGAAACACTATTCAGTTGAAGACAAAGGAAAGTGGCTTTTGTCAACCTTAATGCTCAATAGAAGACAAAGTTTTCTCCCCTCAGAATTTGTGACCACGAGTCAAATTCAATTCATGTGATCTGTGTAATATTAAGAAAACATTGCAGAGAATATAATTAACGTAGTCCCAGGTTAGCAGTGCCTCCCAGCAACTGGAAGAAGTAAATAAAACTTTTTCTGAAGGCATTCACCCAGACCTCAAAATTTTCATAAATAAAATTCTGAGTAAAATACATATCCCCTAGTAACAAATTACAAAACTCATAAGGAAAGAAGGCACCATAAATTAGGCTCAACAAAAACAGACGGCAGAATCTGACTCATGAAGACTTTTGAAACTGAATTATTTAATAAAATATAACAGTATTTAAACTGTTTAAATACATAAAAGAAAAATCTTGAAACTATGGAAAAAGAATAAATGACAGTAACAAAAACATTTGCAAAAAGAAAGAAAACTGCTGTAATTAAAAACTTTGTGGCTGAATCATGCAGCAGAATAAACATAGCTGCAGAGAAAATCAGGAAATGGGAAGATCTGAAGACATCCAGAATTCAGTCCAGAGTGATAAACTCTGAAAAAAACATAGAAGAGGCATGGGAAAGAAAGTGAGAAAGTCAAATCTACTAAGTAGAATTTTGTAAGAAGACATGGAAGTGAAAATATTTATTGGCAGTGGATAAAAATATTACAGAATTGAGGGTCAGCAAATGGCATAGTGGTTAAGGTGCTGGACCCCCACATGGCTGACTGTGGTTCAAGTCCCTGACCCAGAGACTTGAAAATCATGCTAGGCACATGTGCATGTATGCCCAAAATCCCAAGAGGAGAATGGAGGAGAAGGGATTGCAGAGTGGCCATACCCACAAAGGGTGATTTCTCACTTTTCCTCTCTCTGTCTGTCTCTGTCTCTCTCCAGTGACTGCATGTACCCTATAGCAAAAACCTTTAAAAATAAATTACAGAATTGATCTAAGTACCAATTCTCAGATCCAAGGAAGACCCATGATGCCAAACAGGATAAATAACATCACCTAGACATAGCATAGTGCAACTGTACAACACAAGGAAATAAGACTTTTATAGGTAGCCAAGAAGAGAAGTCACCTAGAATAATATGGATAGATAAGTCATCTAGAATAATATGGATTAGACTCATAAGTAACATTTTTTTAATGAAGGTGCGCCCTCAACAAGGCCTTGTCATATTGTGATCCCCGTTCCTACACTCTCCAGGCTCCTCAGGGTCCTGGGAGCCTGTGAATGCAGCCAACATGCTTCTAGGGCAACCCAGGGAGCTGAGCCCATGGTCAGCCAGAAAGCCTCCAGCAGTGCAGTCCAGTACACGACAGGCTGCTCCACCTAGGCTAGGCCATGTAACTTCTAATCAACAATGACGGTGACTAAAAACAATAAAATGATGCTGTAAATGTGCAGGAAAATAAATATCTTTTGATCCAAAATCTACACCCAGTAAAACCATCATTAGAAAGGACAAAAACTGAAAGAGTGCTACCAACGAACCCTTTCAAAAAGAAATGTAAAATAACGTAAGGGAGATAAAAACAAAAAGATCCCAACTGGAGGACTTAAGGATTGAGGGGTAAAAACATTTGTAAATATGTGAGTAAATTAAAGAAAGTCATGCATCACTCAATGATGGAGACACATTCTGTGAAATGTAGCATTAAGTGATTTTTGTCTCATACCAAAATCATAAAGTGTACTTAGGGTATAAGAAGACTTAATACCTGACAGTATAGCCTACTACACACCCAGGCTATATGGCATAACCCAATACCATCTTATGGGATGACTATCATGCATGTGGTCAGTCATTGACCATAACATCATTATGCAGCACATGAACATATTATTAAAAAAAACTATTGGGATCAACTGGTAGCATGGTAGTTAAGGTACTAGACTCACACATGGCCAACCACAGTTCAAGTCTCAAACCTGGTGGCTTGCTCTAGTATTTTCTCTCTCTCATCAAATTAAATAATAATAACAAATAAAATGAAATTTAAAAACTATTATAATAAATATAAAATTCATGAGGGAAATAAAAGAAACTGGACAACTTAGTTTCTAAGAATTTTCTACTTAGGGGCAAAGGATAAAAATTATTAGATTTTGCTAAGTATGTATGTTAAATTACCTATAATAATTACTAAGAAGTATTTTCATTGAGGAGTTTCAAAAAATCCATGGAAAAGTGGAATGAAAGGAGTTTATTTTAGAGCAAAAAACTCTGAAAGCTATGCATTCTTTTTCATAATATACAGTCTTCATGAGCTGTTTGAGACTCCTCACAGAGTATAACTTTTATACAAGTTGAGAGGGTAAAGGGGACAGAAAAAAAGGAGGGGGATAAAAACCAAAATAAAGTCAAGAAAGAATAACCACTTATTAAGTACAAAAAAAAAACTGAACAAATAGAAATCAAGTAAAAATACCATAAATAATAATAACACCAGTAAATATTAATAATTATAATAAATGCAAATGGCTAAGCCTTTCCAGTTAAAAGAAAAAGATTATCAGACAGTATTTTTTAAAAAGCAAAACCCAACTTTATTCTACTTAGAAAATACTCCAGAAGCATAAGCACACAAATAGAGAACAAGTCAACAGGCAGGAAAAGATACATTAGGCATATACTTAACCAAAAGAAAGATAAAAGAAGGCAAAAAAATTTATCATAGAAGCAGTATCATTTATCTTAACATCGAACAATAAAATAGAAAGGTATTGATCTAACAAAGCGTATACAAAGTCTAGACAAGGAAAACTGTAAAACTCTGAGGAAAGAAATCAAAGACAGAAATAAATGGAGAGGTAGATCCCGGTCATAGAGAGAAAGGCTCAACGTTGATATTTCAGCTCTTCCAAACTTGATCCATACATTCAATTAATCCAAAGCAAAAACTCTGAAAGTTATTTTGTGGATATTAACAACCTAATCAAAGTTTATACAAAAAGACAAAAGTCTTGGAAGAACACAAGATCAAAGGAGAAGACGTCAATCAGTAGACTGACAACTACTAAGCCTGAAAACATACTATAAAGCTACAGTCCTGAAGAGGGGTCTGGTACAGGCAAAAGAACAGACAATCAGTCAGTGGAACGGAGAGCCCGGAAGTAAGCCTACACAAATGTAATCAACTGATCTTCAATAAAAAGGAGCAGAAGAAGGTCAATGGGACAAAAAGGTAGTCTTTTCAACAAATCACAAATTACTCTTTCACAGATAGTTATCCATACAAAAAAATTGAAATTATCTTTACCATCCAAAAAATCAATTCCAAAATGTGAAACTCTGAGAAAGCAACATAGGAAAATACCCTTATGATTTCTATTTTAAGAAAAGGCTTCTTTTTTAGAGAAATTTTTGCTCTACAGTGCACATGCTCACTGGAGAGACAGAGATAGAAAGTGAGAAATCACCCCCCAGGGATGATAGCAACGGTTACAATTGCTACAATCCCTTCTACGTTCTCCTCTCCAGATCTTGGGCACCAACACAAATGCACTCGGCATGAGTTTTAAGCCCCGGGTCCGAGACTCAAATCGAGGTCAACTACATGATAGTCCAGCAACATAACCAATGATATTCCAGCAACATAACCATTACGCCTTCTGCCAGTCCCAAGAAAAGACTTCTTAAGACAAAAAATACAAACCATACCATGGTTTGCTATTTTGGCTATATAAAAATTGACTTCTACTCATCCAAAGACATCAAAATAATAATTAAAAAAGTAAAAAGATAAGTCACAAACTGAACAGGATGTTCATAACTCAAAACTGAGAAAATATTAGTACCCAAAATACATAAAGAAGTCTACAAATTAATAAGATAAAGATGAGCCACAAAAAGAAAAGTGAGTAGGAGCCAGCAGATGACAAGGTTCAGGGCACTGGACTCCCACATGGCCAACCATATTTGAGTCCTGGACCTGAAAGCTTGCTTTCTTACTTTCCCTCTCTCTCTCACTCTGTCCCTCTCTGGTCAAGTTAAATAAATAAATAAAAATAAAGTTAAATAAAATAATTCTTTAAAAAAAAAAAAAAAGAATGAACGAAAAGTGAGCAAGAGATCTTAGATAGGTACTCATTAAGGAGGAAATCTATGTGACCCAGAAACAGGAAAGCAGGCTCCACAGGCTCGACTTCATTTGTAATCTAAAAATGTCAACTAAAACCACCATGAGATACCAGTTAAACCCATGTGAGTGGCAGAGTTCTAAATCAAACAAGCCTAACATGGGGAAGGGAGAGAGGAACAGAGTTGAGGTGCACTGCAGACAGGCATAGGTAATCCTGTCAGATGCGACCTCGGAAAGCCGATAGACACCCGACTCTTGGCAGCCTAGAGAAACCTTGTACATGCGCACAGAGCACAGTGTGTAACAGGAAATAACAGGGTTCCTCCCAAATGGCCATCAGCCACATCATGAATAATATATTCCCCTGGTTCATTAAATAACAAAATAGCAAACGTCGATAAAAACTAAACATACTTATTGGTTCATCAATATATGGATGACAGAAACATAGAAAACTAAAGGAACAATTAAGGTAAAATTCGAGACCAGAGATTGGGTATATGAAGGGGCAAGGAGATGAGAAGAGGGCAGGGGCCCTCGGGGGTCCTACAGCACAGGGGGGTGTGCGACAGCCGTGTGCTCTGTGATGGCATGACCTGCATGGATACATTTTACATATTCTTTTTATATACACACAGGTTGAGAAGCCCTTATTCAAAATGCCTGGGAGCAGAAATGTATTCGATTTTTCCAAATTTTGAAGTATTTGCATATACATACTAAGAGATCTTGGAGGTGGAACCCAAGTTTAAACACAATTCATTTACACTTCATACACACTTTACACATATAATCTGAAGGTAAACGCATACAAACAATATTTTTGTGTTTGCGGTGTTCGATTGTGACCAGGTACGGAATTTTCTACCTATATCATGCCAGTGCTCAAGAAGTTTGGGATTTTGGAGATTTCAGACTTTAAAGCTGCAGATTAAGGATGCTCAACCTCAATATTTTTCACAATAAAAATGTTTCTATACATGAAAGCAAAGGAATAATTATTAGAAACACAAAACCGTGTAATCTTACCAGGGTAAGAATGATTCTGTTTATTCGAAGAAATTTCCGAAAGCGTATCCAAGGAATCAGTTACTCTAGGAATAAAACAAAGAACACCTTATTAGACGCAGCTGATTTTCAGATTTAAGACTGGCTGTCAACTAAGATTTTCACGCCAGATGGTATTTATTATTTCTTTCATTCAATAAAGTTATTGAACACCTTTTATGAGCCATGAATGAGCTTTAGTCCTGGGTAGGAGGCAGGCAATAACCAAATACAAGAGGTCCTCACTATGGAGGGATAGTTAGCTTGGAATAAATGGTGCTTAAGTCAGCCGGGTCCCCCATGGCCGACCACACAGTCAGAGTCCCGGACTGAGCAGCTCAACGAATACACTGGGCATGTGTGTGTGTGTGTGGGGGGGGGGGGGGTGCAAAATCTCTAAAGAAGGAAAAATGGAGGAGAAAGGATTGCAGCAAGACCGTTCTCCATGGCGGGGGGGATGTATTCTCACTTTCTCTCTCTCTCTCTCACGCGTGTGTGCACAGGCCCTCTAACAAAATGTTTAAATAAATAAATAAAGTGAACTAATTAAAAATAGAGACTTAACTTTCTTAGGAACCTTTTATCTTCCAAAGATAAAACTAAAAAGCATGAAAATTTCATTTTAAATTTAACTAATGTTAGATTAAAGCTATTTTAAAAATCACTAATTCTTAAATTGAACAAAAAGATATTGGCTGAGTTTGTATACACGTGCGATTTTTTTCTTGATAAAATTGTATGCCTAACACAATTCATCATCCTTTACTTTATATCTGACTCTAAGCACAATCACAAAGGTCACTTTCCCGGAGAGTTTCTCTTCATTTTTTTGATATTCAAAATCATTCTCTATTTTTAAAAAGCCGATCCTGGCTGGCTCATTTTCTTTCAACTGTTTACTGACCTAAATCTGCAAGGCCTCCATTTGTCAGTCACTTTCTCAAGCATACTTATATTGCCATCAAGAAATGCTGCAACTCTCACCATATTTGCAATTTCATGTTGCAATTTGTATGCACCACTTTTTTTCATAATAAATAACCTACTACAGAAATCAATGAGAGACTGACAGACACAGACTTGATAAACAGAACAAATACTTGAAGGGATGATGGATAATTGAGAGAAACAATCAGTCCAGTAGTAATAAGCGTCTAATGGTAAGAACTAAGAAAACAGATATTATACTAATAAAGGTCACTTGAGCAACATATGAATATGTGCGTGCGTGTGCATGTGCGTGTGTGTGTGTGCATGTGTGTGTGCGTGTGTGTGTGCAGGACGAGATGTTATCTAGTCAGGGACTTTTCTAAGACTTTCTCTAAAGAAATATTGATTGATTGATATATTCACAGAAGAAAAGCTATTAACTGAATGAAAGCTGGATGGGTCTAAAACTTCATTCACACAGAGAAAAGAACATGTGCAAAGATTTGGGATAGTAGGCACATTTTAATCTTTTAAAAAAAAAATCACAGAAAGGGGCAGGGTGGAAAGGCTGGTTGCAAATCTGTGGAGGCATAAGATGCAAGGTGAGATCCTGAATGGTCCCGTAAGCCGTCCCCAGTTTACAGTTTTTCATCTTAAAGACCTGTGGTGTCTTTAAAGAGCGCCAAGGCTGGTACAGATGATGAACTCCTCAGAATCAGGAACTACGTCTGCTTTATTTGCTTATAGAATGCCTAGCGCAGCACAAAGTGCTAAAAGATACTTAATAGAATTTGATGATGATGAATGAGACAATCAGAAGATGACAGGAAGACAGCTGGATGGAGACAGCAGTTCATTCCGAGAGAGTCCTATTTCTCTTAAGAAGAGGGGGCTGCATTGAAATGCACCACCTTTAAAAAGGCCAAATAAAAGGCAAACAGAAAATAAAGTTAAAAAAAAAAAAGCTATGCTTTATAAACAAAGTGAGGGGAAAAAATGAAACCATGAGAGAAAGTGACCTCACAATATAGGGGAGAGAAGGCTGTTACGGCCTAACAGTGACTGAACTAGGACCACGTGTGATCAATATTTACCACACCTGAGAAATGCCAAACTATGCACTCTGGGCAATCAGACATGAAGAGAACCCCAGCCCCCTGACTAGGAGACACAGAAGACTGTGGCAACGTGTTGATGAAGTTACATCCAAAGCAGTAAGAGGACACAGAAGACTGACTGGTCACTCAGCACGGATTTAACTCCCAAATCAATCATTTACAAGCTGCGGGTCCTAAAGACAGTCACCGAAGCTTTTTTAGCCATTCCTGGCTAGGGTTAGAAGCACACATTCTGACACTGATTACCCGGCCTGAAACCTCTCACCCCTTGGCAGCACACCTCACTTCATCTCCCTGTGCCTAACCTGCCTCATCTGTGAAAGAGGGAGAAGTATGCCCCAAGGGGAGCGGTGGAGGACGGGGTGAGTCAACACAGGGGAGTACGGGAAATGCTGCCCAGTGCGTACAAGGGCTATTCTTCAGCTGTGAGCTCTGACCTCCCTTACTTTATTTATAAAAATGATTACCAAAAAAGTGCAAACCAAGGGCTTCAGAAAAATAACAAAAAAATAATAAACCTGGGCTGAAAGCCCACCACTAGCTACATCTAGCTAAGTTTCTTTCTTGAAACTCGTTTCTTCGCCTGCAAAATGGGAATGATCGTAAGGTCTTGCCTTACAGCTCACTGGGCTTCGGGATCAAGGAGCAATGCACAGAAAGCACCGTACAGAGCCTACCGCAGAGCGAGTGCACACTGCGTGCTTCTAATAGTGCTCATTATTTCCCAGCTCGCCTGGCCAAATACGTGTCAGAATCAAATACAGCAACATATAAGTAGAGCTACTTTATAAACTACAAAATGCTGTGCGTTAAATGGTACATTATCAGAAAGGAGAAAATAATATAACGTATATCACAGAATAAGGAAATAAATTTTAAAATTACATGTAACTATTCAGTAAGAAAAATAAACTGAGGAAGAATATAAAATGGATATAAAAACTTAAACTGGCCAGCAGACAGTTACACCATCCAGCAGAAGACCAGCAGATTGGGATCACGGGTCTAACCTCACGAATGTGTTGGCACCGTGTATGTGAACTCTTATTTAAACATCAGTATCCCATTTCCCACCCACTGAACAGCATACCAAGCCAACTTCCTTCCGTACATAAATCATCTACATATGGTACCCGGCATTTCACTAGGACTTGTTTCTGTTCAACTTACTGTTTCAAACGAGAGTGAGGTGGAGTAAAAGTGGACTATCTTAAGAAGAAACATGGAGAAGGTATGTTATGTATAAATCCTTGAAGCTTCACTTCCCCCCAAAGATCTACTGCCTATCTATTTTTGAAAACTAAAGAAATCAGAGGAAAAGCCATTTTGGTTGCATTAGGTTTGTAGGAGAATGAATGGGGTGCCTGCTGGCAGGAAATTTAATGTAGTTAGGATGTGACTGAAGCAATCAGAGAGCATTTTTACTTTTGTTTGCATGACAGATTAAGCCTGCTGCTCTCACTGTTCTTAGCTGCAAACGCCACTTCTAATAGCCTACACATACTCATAGGGTTTGCAAATGAGGAATAAAGGAGGGTTTTAAAATTGCAAATCCTCAGCAAAGCAAATTTAGCTTTCCATGAGCCTACTCTCTGAAGAAGATGGCTAGTTAACCCCTTGAAAGGAGGCATGAGCTACAGCCAGTACATGTCTTCCATATAAAATCAGGGTCTCTATAAACCATTACAAATATGTGGGTCATCAGAAAAATCACGATGCATTTTTGCATAGAAAAAAATACGTCATGACTTCTCAATGCAAAAAGTTCTTGTGAATAAACATGCATTCCATTCTGCTCACCTTTGCACCCTGGACGGGGGAGCAAATATTCCGTATCTTGGAGAACAACTAAAATACTGCACACCTCCAACCGAACCATCATTCTTGCCATGGGGTTTTTCAAGTTCTATACCATACCAATAGCCTGAAACACAAATGGTGCATATTAAAAGCAACTACACTTTAACCAGAATCAGTACGTTATTATACAAACCCAAAGTCAAATGGTTTAACACTTTTCACAAATGACCAAAATGGTGGAAGAGCATCATTAAGCTTTCAAATGATAGAATTATAAATCAAAACTCAAGACTTTGAAAAGTGAAAAGAAAATATGGTACAACCACAATTGCAGGGTAGTACAAGGGAGGAAATAAGCATAAACATAAATTTGTGAAGGATTACCTGATGCAAGTAGTGCAGGATCCAAATATATCTACAAACTATAACGATAACAAACTGTCCTTGGCTTAGTGATACAGTGGGTTTCAGTGAGAGAAGTGTAGCATACATTGAGATGTAGAAGTCATGCGATAAGCATGCAATCTTTTCCTTTTATTTCTCTAATATTAAGACACGACAAACAGTTCTTAAATAATTTTAAAATATGTATAAAGAAAATACCACTAAACATAATGGTGACTTTGCACTCCTTTTTTTCCCACCATGATGAAAAAAAATTTTTGTTTAATATTTTTGTTTGTTTTCGCCACAGGGCATGTGCAGTCACTGGAGAAAGACAGAGACAATGAGAGGGAACATGAGAAACCAGCCCCACAGGGTGGATGGCATGCTGCAATCCCTTCTCCTCCACTCTCCTCCTGGGACTTTGGGTATGCATACACACACGCCCAGTGTGACTTTCAAGCACCAGGTCCTGGACTTGAATCATGGTCAGTCATGTGGGAGTCCAGAGCTTTAACCATCATGCCACCTACTCACCCCAAGAAAAAACATTTTTAATCTAAAATAAAAATACTTACAGGTTAGATAATAAGAATTCTCTAAGACTGAGAGTATTTAAAGGGGCTCACTCTGAAGAGAGTAATAAGATTCCCTTTTCTGGAGAGCCCAAAAATAAAGGAGCAAGGTTGCTTTTAGTGTGGTTCCACTCAGTATACAGTAACTAGACACACGCTCCTAAGAAAAGGATTCTCAAATTAAAGGGTCCTCAAGACCAGTTAAAAGTGCCTAATGATAGAACCAGCAGGTGGCGTAATGGCTACATCGCTGGACTCCCATGTGGTCAGCCAAGGTTCAAGTCCCAGACCTGGTGACTTAAGCTCACACCAGGCACATGTGTGTGTGTGTGTGCATGTGCCCAAGAGCCCGAGAGGAGAGTGGAGGAGAAGGGACTGCAGTGTGACTATCCTCCCTGGGAGGGGATTTCTCGCTTTCTGTCTCTCTGTCTTTCTGGCAAGTGCACACCCCCTATAGCAAAAAATCTCTCAAAAAAAAAAAAAAAGTGCCTAATGGTCCACCCATTTGTGATTTAAAAGGTAAAAAGCAGTCATTGAATTTGGTTTCTTTGGATCAATATCAAATGAAAAATAAGAACAAAGACATAGAGAAACATCTTGCAAATTTTAAAATACAAAAATATTATTTCTTCCAGGTTGCTAGTTCAGAAAGTTGATCACATAGCCTCTAAACACTGACATAAAATAAGTTCTTTATTTTTTTTTCTGCTTATGTTCAAAAGATGACTCTTGTGCCCATTTCCAGATATTGAAGTGGGAGCTGAAAAGACTCGTGTGTGACCAGTGTCTTTTATACTTACAGTCTGACTATGCAACATAGGAGATATCTGCAAACCTACTGTTTAGCTACACTAACGCTGTGAAAACAGGTCCTCACGTTTCTGAGCGTCCTAAACCAGGTAAGCCTGCTGCTATCGTCATTCATTGAGTGCCGCAGTTAGAATTTCCAAGTCTTACTTCTTTCTGCCTTTAATGCTTTCCTGTATCATTTTTGCACTCTACCATCTTAATTTACAATACAATGGCTACATGTTTACGATATACCTAGTGTGTAACACACAGCAGACATCACGACAAGTATTAACAATAGTGAATACACATTGTCTGCTAGTGGTATGGTATGACTATTTTCCCATTTAAATGTTAATTTTCTTTCCGAGGTAGCACTGATAAAAATGCTGAAGAGGCTAAACACAACCTTCCTCTAGTCTAGATCTTATGGTCTATAAAAGCCTAGATATTACCACTATTCTTTAGAAATGACTGATCTAAATTTTGATACCACAAGAAATATATCTGCTGCCTCCGTAAAGGGCAGAATGACTTGGACGAAGAGTTTCCAACTTCTCTCATGTTTGCTTTGTACTTCCTAGACTCCTAAATGCCTTATATTGGAATTTTAAAATTAAAGGTCAATCTAAAAGGATGCATTTGCCTCCAAGGGAAAAAAAACAAAAAACAAAAACAAAAACAAAAAAACACCATTCTACTTTTGTTTCATATAATCAGAGAAAGGGGACTCAAAAAACATATGGTGATTATAAAAATAAAATAACCTACCTATGGTGTTCTTGAATTTTTACTTGAGAACTATATTGAGTACATTCTATGAATCTCAATGATGACCTAAGAAAGCTATCAATTATAAAACATATACCCATCACAAATAAATTAGTCGGCTTGCAATTAGAAGTAACACAGGCACACGCTGCGAGGCCACTCTCCATGGCTGACTCATGTGCCTCCCCATCTCAAGGACAGAGGCACCGATGGACTTCATTCCAGACCGTCCTTTCTCAGATCTGTATAATGGATGGCCTTGGAGGACAGAGTATCCCTCCAGAGCAACAAGCAGGCAGGCTGAACAAGTTCAGCATAAAGGTTCAGATTCCTTAGGCTCAGGCTCCTCTCCTGGAGCATAAACCACTCGTATGCTGTCACCTGGCCCTCTCTCTCCCACTGTGGCAGTCACAGCTCAGGGAACAGTGCAAGAACAAGCTGGGAGTCAGACTACCGCTCTGACTGTGAGTGACCCAGTCCTCTACCACGACCCAGGATTCTTACATGTAGTATCTCCCACCAACATCTATGAAACCGCAGCAGACTAATTTTTAGCCTGCAAGTAGGGTAAAATCTCAGATCCTTCAGAGTTCTTGGCAGAATGCTACAGAATTAAAAAAAAAAAAAAATCAATGGTCTTGGTAACCTTTTCTTAAAATGCTGCAATGCCACCATGTGTTAAAAGAGCATATTGCTGTTTAAAACATACAAACATGGTGTTGTTCAACTGCCTTCTATTTATATTATAATCAGTGAAAAAGCAAAGAAAGTAACCTTTACTTTTGTGAACACAATGTTAAGTATAGATTGTAATGAGTAATATAAATAAATACATATTTTAAGGTCCAGGGTACACAAAAGCTTTCTTGTTTTCCTTTGAGCTTGCTTTTCTCTCTAAGCCATTCTGATAAAAGCTACACAGTTGACTTATCATCTATTCATTTTTAAGATTATCCTTAGCAAAAATCTAAATCGAATCACAAAATGCCTTCCCTGTCAGTTAGCACTCTCAGCCATCAGTGAGAGTAAAACTAGAGAGTAAGGGCTAACTTCAACTTAGACAATTTACAACCCAGTTGGCAAGAAAAATTTATGACAACAATCAACCTGAGTAAAAACAGTTTGAGTTCTAATCATCGTTTCATATTTTCTGTGCCACTGCTACAATCCACAAGAATTATTAATCAAGAATCCTCTATAATTACAGCGTATTCATATGTTAAAATACAAAACTTGCTGTCTTGTAAAGAATTCAAATTTTTAGCAAGAAAGATAGAGATGAGTTACCTGGAGCAAAGTTGGTTGTCCCAAAGAACTTAATCGTACCAATTCTCTGGCCGACCACCAGCACCCTGTCTCCCAGGCGGAGTTCTCCCTCACAGCGGGTATTATTTGCTACAGATGTTGCTGAGGAATTCAAACCTGTTTAAGTGGTTGGTGGGGAAGAGGGACAGGGTGGGAGAAGGGGGAAGAAGACAAAAGGGAAAGGAACTCAAAATCACATTAGCCAAAAATAAATAAATAAATAGATATTCTAAGACAGCTAGCTAGAAATTTTGATATTTGATGCCATCAACTACAGTTGTGTTTTTCACATGTGAGGCCAAAATACTCAAAGGGAACATGAAGGGTTTCCTGAGAGAATTGTTGCTTTGGGAAATTCAAGATTCCTAGAAGTACCCTGTTACCAGGATTTCCTGGTGAACTCTCCACTGAAATAGGGGGTCAGCGAACTTCTTCTGGGGAGAGCTAAATAGCAGATATTGCACACACTGCAAAATGCCATCTCTTGTCACAAATACGCAACTCTGAACTCAGGAAAGCAGATACAAGTAATCCATTATATTTTTTTTGAAGTTTATTTCATTCTTTTTTCTTCATATTTTTAATTAATTTTTAAATTATTATTCATACATTAAAACGCTATACATCACTTTGATTGTGAAGAGACTTTACCCAGCATGATATACACCTCAGTCCAGCCAATGTGCATGGTTGTGTTCTAATAAAACTTTATTTACAAAACTGTAACTATTCTAACAAACTATCCTAATAAAATGCTAGAATTACAGTACTTCTCCTGGACTTGGTATAAATGATACAAAAAGGGAATGTGACTTGAAGGCGAAATTGCTTTAAGGTTCCAGTCACACCAAATTGATTTCTATATTAAGAACCCTCTCAACCTGATTTAAAACTAAACTCTGAAATGCACACAATTAAACATCAGAAAACCTAGAGAAATATCCAGAAAGCTCTTCAACTACAATAGCTGAGAGAGAAGAGGTGAGCCCTGAGTCCTCTCACAGTGGTACATAAACAAGGTTTGAATGACTGAAGGTCTAGCTGAGGGCCTGGGATGGAGAACAGGTCATACCGTGAAAAGGAGAGACGAAGCATGGCAACAAATACAGGAACATAAAGCCACAGCGAAGGAAGGTCTGGATAAAGCACTACACTAAAAGTTCTAGGACCTCCTAATAACTAATATTCTATAGCACTCCTGAAGTGCTTTTCATAAAAATCATGATGATAAATAAGATACAAACTGAGGAATTAACTAAGACGTGGTATTCACAGCTAGTAGGGGCTCACCTAGATGAAAACCCAGACTCTCTGATCAAAAATTTTCAACTCTGTCACCAAGCTTCTACCTTCAGAAAATTGACCAAAGGTGGCGAGTTTGATGGGATACAATGAAGCTGAGGCCCAAAACTAACCTCCTCCCGACCCCTCCCCTAATCCTTCCTTCTTCCCACTCTGCTTCTCTAACATACTGCTCCAATACTGTCCACTCTCAGCAATTCAATGGAAACCCATAGAAAAAGTGAAATATGTGTTAACTGTACAAAATTTTCTTAAGGAATGTCTCTAGAGTTCCAAACACGGGACTTCTTCTCTCTTATCTCTCATTTTCTCACCCCTGCTCTCCTGTGAAAGGACCTCTCTCACACGCCCATAACATTCATCTTTACTACTGTCTGAGTCTATATAACCCTCTAATTTATAAAAAGAAAAATATTAAATATACAGCTAATTCTTATAAATTTAATTTTAAAAAGGCCATCCATACCCACATATAAACTTAAAAATCAAATATATGTCAAAAGGGAAGGGACCAATAAAATGTGAATAAAATGAGGACAAGCATAGTGCCTTCTCTCCTCACAGCATTGAAGAAAAGCTGGTGAGGTGAAGGCAAGAGAATACATATTCAGGTAATAATTAAATAATAAATAATCCCTACTCAGAGAATAAATATTTCAGGTAAACATTTGAGCAAAACTTTCACACTGTCTACTTTCAGGGTCCCAAATTTTAGATTTATTACATCAATGTTATCGTTGAGGGTGTGTAGATTTTCCTCCATCCAATAAAGTTAGTATTTTAAAGATAAAATATGCATATATACTCCTAGGGACATTTTCTATATATAATACTGATCCCATACAAATGCTAATGGTATTAGTAAAAGATGGCCCAGCCATGGGGGCACAAGTGGGAGGGAACCGTTGTGCAATGACTGAGGCCACACGGGAGTCCTGGGCTCAGTTCCCAGCCCAACCTGAACAGGCCAGATGCACTGGTACGTATCTGTGGTCCTAGATAAGTGGGAGGCTGGAACAGGAAGGGTCATGGAGAGACCCGGACAAAAATCTCTCCCTCTCCCTCCCAAGATTCCAGCCCCCAACCCATTAAAAAAAGTTTAGAAAAAGAAGATAGTAATTATTATGAGGTTCATTAAGAATCATGTAAGCCTGAATGGCTTCATTTCCTTCTGGACAGGTTTACTATAAAGGTAAATAAACTGCAACAGACAAGACTGTGTTGATTTCAACAAAAAGTGTGTGATGCACTGTTTCATGTACCCTTACACAGAGCTGAAGAAATGTAAACTGAAGGAGCTATGCGAGATCCACACTAGTTAGGAAAATAAACTGGGACAAAACGTCATTGTCATCCTGGAAGAGGACCAGCTGAATTTCTCTTGCATGGTTTTCAACAATGACTTGAGTAAAAGCCGAGAAACCGTGCTTTTCAAAATAGAAAATGAAAGGCATGTGAATAAGCTAATCTGTAAGATACAAAAAATAAAATTCACATGGAACAAAGTCACTGGGAAAAAAAATTAAATGAAAAGAAATGCAAAGTCTTGTATCTGACAGCAAAAGGAAGACACCTAGCTTAAGGCTCAGGGGGAGGCAAGGAAGAGTGCAAGTAGTTCAATCTGATTGAAGTAAAGGGTTCCTTCTACACATTTAAAAAGAGCAAATCTACTTACAAACAAACCAAGATAAAAACCACCAAGAAAGCCTGGTTGAAAAAGCCATAGATACCAGCACTGGCTCTAGATGAAAGAGATGGGCTTTTGCTCATTGTCTTCTTGTTATTGCTGCTCACATTCAGCTTCTTGGGGTGACTCTGTTTGTGTTCCAAAGAAGATGTGGAGGAGGAGCTGCTGATGGATCCACGCAGGGTACCTACAATCGGCAAAGAAAAAGAATGAACCCGAGAGTACAAAATCAGAAGTGGACCAATAAGATGCATTTTCAGGCAAATCCTTCTGAAACTCTCCATGCAGCTTCCTCAGCTCCAGATTAGCTACTGTCCAATTTGATACCTGACTTTACCCTAATACACTGTAGTTCTGTATAAAAGATTTTAAAACACTTTAAGGATTCACACTGCAAGATCGCAGTCTTACATAGGAGACGGCCTCAGAGCCTTAACAGAAACCAACTCTCTAATGCAACCACCACTGCCTTAGGTGAGATAGGTCCCCTCCTTCTTTAGACAAAAACTAAAAATGTTATTAATACATTTTAAGGGAGGCAGTCCATGGCCTGGTGGTTGAGAAGGCTGGATCCCACATGGCCAACTGTGAAGTTCAAGGCCCACTCCCAGAGGCTTGAAACATATGCCATAAGTATGTGCATTCATGGACAAAATCCCAAAAAGAAGAAGAGATAAGAGAGAGGGGATTACAGCAAGATCATTCCCCACTAGGGTTGCTTTCTTGCTTTCTCTCTCTCTCTCCCTCCCTCCCCCGCTCCCTCTCTCTCTCTCTCACTCTCTCTCTGTCTCTCACATGTACACATACCCTCTGGAAATTTTATTATTTTTTTATTGTCTTTAGAGATTTCTGTTATAGGGCACATGAGCTCACCGGAGAGACAAAGCAAGAAATCACCCCCAGGGCAGATGGCCATGCCACAATTCCTTCTCCTCCAATCTCCTCTCGGGATTTGGGGCACACACACACACACACACACACACACACACACATACCTGGTGTGAGCATTCTTTTTAAATTAATTTATTTTACATTCATTCATGTGAGTTTTATTAAGTCACCCGTCTGGGACTCAAACTGCAGTTAAAACACGTGGGAGTCCAGCAACACAACCATTAGGCCATTTGCTGGTTTTGGAAAAATCTTTTTAAATAATAAATATATTTAAGGTAATAAATATTTAATATTAAAAAAAATTTTGGAGAGGTTTTTGCTATAGGGTGCGTGCGCTCATCAGAAAGACAAAGAGAGACAGAAAGCGAGAAATCACCCCCCGGGGGATGGCCACACCACAATCCCTTCTCCTCCATTCTCCTCTCAAGATCTTGGCCACACGTACAAGCGCTCAGTATGAGTTTTAAGCCACCAGGTCCGGGACTCAAACCACGGTTGACTACATGGGAGTCCAGCAACATAGCCATTATGCTAACTGCTGGTCCCAATATTAAAATATTTTTAGTTAAATCTGAAGGCAAGTAGGAACACCCATGCTCTATTCCCCTCATGATTTTAAAGCAAAAGGCAACTTAAATATTTTTGTCAAGACATCTATGCTATGGAGTTCTCTTTTATCCTCTCTTTTCGTCTAATCCAGTATTGCCATAATTTAAGTGTATTTAATAATTACAGCACAGGATTTTATAGGGGAAAAATACCTTATATATATATAAAAAGATAACTTCATTATGAGCTGTAAAAGAGATTTTCAGGGGAATTTTTAAAATAACAACAATTTTTCCCTTGCCAATTTTAAAACACAATCTAAGTATAAGTTGCTTTTCACTATATTATTTTAGAGTTCTACCAGTAACTTCAATTTTGAAAAGCAGACAGTATAAATGATATTTACCATCTTTGTCTGTGACAGTTTTCGATTCTTCTCCAGGAGGTAATGAAAGCGTTGACTCAGAAGCACTATCTTTTTTTGATGTCATTAATCCTAGAACACAGAAATAAGACACTTAGGAAGAGAGAATTTTGCTTAACATTAAATACTATTTAAATGTATTTTTTAAAGGACATGCATTCCTCATTGTCTAATAAGTCTTTTCCACTTTTGAAATCACATTAGATAATAAGTCCACAGATAGTAGTGGCCGATTATTTCATTATTCAAAAATGTAAAAAAGGAAGCTTTCCCAGCTTGTCTGAAAAGCTGATCTCCCCTAATATCATTATAATACACTTTAAATCTACAGGACAATCTGCTAAGGATTTCTAAATGATATGAAGATTTAAAACAGTTGCCGAATTGTCTGATACTTACCATGCTCATTAGTGAGTGTGTTGGCAGAACGCCAGCAGGTAAGGAAACCTATGATGACTGACACACAGCTGCCTCACACTTGTGGGACTTACAAACAACTTACATGATTTGACCAGTATGTGCGTGAAAATTCATTGTGATGGATTTTCCACATAGATCGTGAGTTAAAAGTTAAATTTTTTGCCTATCATTTTAGCAACTATTCATTTAGGTGAGAGTTCTGACAGACTCCAGTCATCTCTGCCACTGCTATTTGTTTTTTTTTTTCCCCTTGGAGAGGTTTTTGCTACAGGGTGCATGCACTCACCAGGAAGACAGAGAGAGACAGAGAGACAGAAAGCAAGAAATCACCTTCCCAGGGGGGATGGCCATGCCACAATCCCTTCTCCTCCAATCTCCTCTCGGGATCTTGGGAACGTACACACATGTGCCCGGCATGAATTTAAGCCACCAGTTCCGGGACTCAACAACAGTCGACTACATGGGAGTCCAGCGACATAGCCATTACGCTAACTGCTGATCCCTGCCACTGCTATTCTGAAAATAATTGCCCCACTCTCACCACACCCAATGTCCTACAAAAACCTCCCTTGGAAATTAAAGCTCCCAAACAATGGCCTGCCTTAGTAAGAGTTCTGTTTCAATTGTACAAAATAAATTATTTAATAAGAAATCGAATAGACTGCACCCTATTTTAAATTTCATCAGTTATCCAATTTTATTCACGAAGCATTTGGGGTAGAGATCCGTGCTTAGCATCCTGAGTATCACAAACAAGGATAAAACCTGATCCTGACCCTAAAGGAGAACCTTTACAACCTAGCATGGTGGAAAGACATGGACATGAATAACTAAAATAAGAGGACACTTTTCACATAAACGCTAACGTCAGAGGAGGAGACAGTAACTGCAGCTACGAAGATAAATCAACAGCTCATTGAGGTCACAACCAGAGATGGTTCTTGAGGGATGAGTAAGATTTCTCCCAGAAAAATACTGGAGGTACAGTCAGAAAGAACTGAGGGTAAGAATTCTGGATGGGGACCAGCAGTTAGCGTAATGGCTATGTCACTGGACTCCCATGTAGTCGACCGCGGTTCACGTCCCAGACCCGGTGGCTTAAAACTCACGCCGGGCATGTGTGCATGTGTGCCCAAGATCCCGAGAGGAGAATGGAGGAGAAGGGGTTGTGGCGTGGCCATCCCCTCTAGAGGGTGATTTCTCACTTTCTGTCTCTCTTTCTCTCTCTGTCTGTCTGGCAAGCGCACATGCCCTACAGCAAAAACTTCTAAAAAAAAAAAAAAAAAAAAAGAATTCTGGATGTTCTGTATGGACAGAAAGAAAATCTTAACAACACAGAGAATAGTGAGCAGCTCATTTACCAAAGAGCACTTTTGGGGTGTGGAAAAAGGAAAACTGGACAGAGAATGATAGTGCCTGCCTAAGGAACAGGAATCTTTCTTTAAAGAACAAGCCTGAGCCAGTAGGCAGTGCAGAGGCTAAGGTGCTGGATCCCACATAGCCGACTGAGTGGTTTGAGTCCCAGGTCTGGTGGCTTAAAAAATCACACTGGGCACATGTGTGTGCATGCCCAAAATCCTAAAAGGAGAATGGAAGAAAAGGGATTACAGCATGGCCCTCCACCCTGGGAAGTGATTTATTACTTTCTTTCTCTCTGTCTCTCTCCCAGGAGCATTTGTGCCCTGTAGCTAAATAAATAAATATATAAATAAGTAAGTAAGTAAGTAAATTTAAAGATAAAAAAGGTGTTCTTTTTAAAAAAAATTCAAAAATAAAGAACAAGCCTTTGCTGGGCTTTGACAAGAAGGGTTGGCACAGAGTTCTAGTTATAAATAATATTCCTCTGACAGCATGGTCTAGAAGGAAAGCAGAGGAGGAGAGGCTGGAAGCAGAGCCCATTAGAAGTCATTACGGCAGTCCTGGTGTGAAGGTCTGACTATGACAGCAGAAACTGCGTGGGGGCAGGGGAGGGGGTGAGTAAGAGATTCTATGACTGACTGCAGAGGAAATCTCTGCATTTCAGTTCTAAAGTACCCATTTGGTTCCTTCCTTTTATTGGAATTTTTTATTAAGACAATTGGAGACTCACATAGAGTAATAAAAAATACTACAAAAAGATTCCTTGTACACTCTGCCCAATTGCCCCCAAAGATAACATTTTATTCAACTATAATATGCCAACTGGGACATTGACATTGGTATAATTCGCCAATCTTACTTAGATTACCCGAGCTTTATTTGTATTCATGTGTGTGTGCGTGCACGTGTGTGTTTGTAACACGCACATGTCAGCTGGGGTTTTTTCCCTGTGTTTTCTACTTCTCTGCTGAAACTCTCCATTTGTTTAAAGAGTGTCCACCCTTACCTACTGGAGCATGGTTATATCATGTTCTTCAAATCCTTTATGTGTCAGTTACAATTCTGTGTCATCTAAGTTGGCAGCCTTTGATTGCTTTTTCTTTGCAAAATGTAGAGATTTTCTTGGTTTTTCATGTTCTGAATAATTCTGGACTGCCCATAGATTTTGAATATGATGTTATGGGGCACTGAGTCTTATTTAGATCCTATGTCCATAGGATTGTTGATTGTTTCGCTTTGCTTGCTTTAGCAGGCAGTTACCCCCCGTTAGGCCCAGGCTCTCAGTTCCCACCCACTTTCTGGGTACTATAGTTCCAATGGCAGTTCAGTTTCCAAAGCCTATGCAGTGCTATTCGGATCTGTTTGTCGTGTGTCCAGCCCAGTAGTCAGTCTGGGACCTGGAGAATGGTACACCTAGAAGACCAAAGCCTTTAATCAATCCAGGCATGTGCAACTTAGGGGGAAGCCTAGGTGTTCATATTCAATATTTTGACTTTCTTTAGCTTCCCCTTCTCCAAATGATCTCCCTGGCACTTTTCTGCTTCTGAGCACCCCTTCCTGGTATTCAGTGAGCAATGCCTGGGCAATAGGGTCCCTGCACTGTCATACAATTTTATGGAGATAGTTTTAAAGGACCTAATTAAAGAAAGACATTCCAAGCTCATTATTAAAAGACTGGCTATTGGGAAGATGTCAGTTCTTTTCAAATTGATTTAAGGTTTAAATGCAATACCAATTAAAACCTCAACAGATTTCTTAAGATGAAACAGCTTATTCTAAAATTTATATAGAATTATGGTTTATAAGGGCCCAAAACAGACAAGATAATCTTCAAGAATAAAGTAGGAGACTCTCCTCTACTAGATATCGAGATTTTGTTTTACAAACTAGAGTGATTCTAAAATGCAGTATTGACACAGGGATATTCAAACAGCCCACTGGAACAGAATATAAAGACCAACCAAATTTTTGGACACAATTCTTTCATCACAGTAGAAAGCCTTTCTGCTTCAGCTATTGATAAGCTGACAAGTATTAATTGAGAATCTATTTGGTTCTATGAACTACAGTGAATACAAAATTATAAAATATTCTGACAGTCCATTTAGAGTTTAAAATTTTGCTGAGAGAATAAAAGCAGTAAGTGGACACCGCTCGGGACTACAAAATCGGATGGTATGAACAAACAGAACATGCAAAGCTAGAGAATAGAGAGATTAAAGTGAGCTGGAGGCATGGGGGCGGGGGACACAGGAGCTAAAAGCCGGATGGGAATGAGGAGGTAGAGGATGGTGAGGACCTCAACGGCAGAATTCAAATCACGGCGGCCACAGGAATACTGTGAGGTGAAGAATGGAGGGAGGAGTGAGGACAGTGAGTGCAAGTCAGGGAAGAGAGAAGACAAACCACAGTTCAGCTGTGGGGGCAGGAGGAGACTATGTCAAATAAAGGCAGAGGATTGCTAGTTTCAAGAGCCAAGGCTTTTTCTAATAATAACAATAAATAATAACAATAAATAAAAAACCACTGAATATCCTTGAATAGGTGGAAAGCACAAAGCTAGTTGTGTTTCATAAAGATTTATTAGAGGTATAAAATCTAGCTTTAAGATTAGATTACAGGGTGATAAAAGGATGGAGTCAGTAGGAGAAAGAAAAGGAAAGGAGAAATCTGAAATATTCATGTTAGGAACTGAAATCATTAATCATGATTGAGACTTACAAAACAAAGATGAAGGTTTTACTAAATTCAGGTTTCACGGTTGGCTAGCAGGAGTGAAGCAATCTAAATACTAAGAATTGTACAAAGAAAAATGACAAAGAAGACGGTTCACTCTCTGGGTTGACCTACCCGTGTTTACTTTCGACGTGACATGAGCGACATCAATTTTGTGGGACCTAATGAGAGGCACGGCTTTCGCAGAAGGAGTGTGTACCAGATTCTTCCTTCGATCTTTCGCTTTACTTATCTTTGAAAGAGGTGCGAAAATACCTATGGGAGAAAGTAGAATTTTAGTTAGTGTTAAAGAAAAGCATTTCAAACAAAGGGGCAAGTTAAAACTACTCTGTAATATTAATCTCGAAAGTTTTTTTTTAGTGCTTAGCACACGTCCTACCGTGAGAGACAGGGAAACAAGACACAGCCCTTGCCCTCAAGGAGCTTATAAACTAGTTGTCAAGACTAACGACATGCACAGGAAATCAGGAACAACATACAAAGTACATAGTTAGGCGTTAGGAAAAAATCAGGGGAAAGAGGAAGGAAGATAACAGTATTCTCCCATTACTAAGCTTTTGGCAAGTAACAGTGCAATATGAAAAACCTATTCTTCCACATCACTTCATACCTCCTTTAGAACTTATATTTTTCCCACATTATAGCTTTTTGTGTCCATGACTTATCTCTCTTCCAGCCTGTAGACTTCTTAAAGATAAAATTCAAGTATTATTCATCTCTGCATTCTCTCACTGTATGTATGTAATTACAGAGCCTTATACATAGTAGGAATATAATATTGGATTGTCAGAAAAGCCATGACAGATTTTCTATGTTTTTCTATACAAAAATGCATCACGACTTTTCTGACGACCCAATAAATCTTTTTAACCATAAAATACAATCTTCCCAAAAAGCCTAGCCCTTGGTTCTTGGTAAACAGAAACAATACAACATGTAGTGGGAAGGAACGGCATATGCAGGGACAGAGGGAGGGGCCTGTCTATTTACAGCTGCTGGGAGGACAAAATTCCATTAAAAAGAAGTATATCCAGGTAATAAACTAACCACTATAAATACGTATGCACAGATATTAGAGACAGTGAACAGATAGGGACCAGCAGATGGCATAAGGATTGCGTCACTACTCTCACGTAGTAGACCACAATTTGAGTCCTGGAACTGGTGGCTTAAAACTCATGCTAGGCATGTGTGTGTGCATGCCCAAAATCCCAAGAGGAGAATGAAGAAGGGATTGTGGCATGGCCATCCCCCTGGGGGGCGGCGAGGAGTGATTTCTCACTTTCTGCCTCCTTCTGTTTCTCCAGCTAGCGCATGTACCCTATAGCAAAAATCTTTCTTAAAAAAAAAAAAAAAAAATTTTTTTCAAGATAATCTGGCTAAGATATTTACAAAGAAGGAATGAAATCACGATATACATATTATACTCTCTAGTTGAGTTTCCAACCTAACAAAGACAAATTATAACAAAGATATTTTTAAAATTTTTAAAGTACAGTAGAAGTGTTCAAAGACTACAAAAGCAGAGGGCTTTGTTAATAGCTAAAAAGTACCAATTAAACTACTTTTCTACTAATCCTAAAATTGTTTCCTCCCCTGAATTCTATTCATTTTGTCCTGATTTTCCTGCCTCTTTCTTTGTTTTTAACACATTCACAATTCTCTCTTCTGCATCTACCTATGAGATTTTCCTTGACTTTCTATTTTATTTTCTCTAAGCTACTTTTCTTGCAAACGTATACTCTATCTTTCTCAAACTTGGTGCTGGTGCTGGTGCTAATGAGTAAACTGCTGCTACTAAGGGTCTGAAGAAAGAAATTATTTTATATTCTGGCAAGACCAATTTGTACAGTCTTTCTGGAAGACAAATATCCTGCCCTAATCCACTTTATGAAATTAATTATAAGAAAATAATTACACTTAGAGATGCATACAAAGATTACGAGATAACACTGCATATATTATAAAGAAAAGATAGATTTCATGAGTCAAAACAATAAGTTTAGTAGAATGCTCCATTTTCTCGTATGCTACTATGATCCGATCATGCTTCTGGAAATTAGTCATGAGAAAAATAATCCAAATTGGAGCAAAAGATTGTAAACCTGGATATGTCATTATTGCAAGATTATTCACAAATACAAGAAAACACAATTGTCTGACAAAAAGATGAATAAGTTAACTATATCTATGAACTACAATATCACCATTAATAAGTTAAACAACAAAGATTAAATGATACAGAAAAATGTAAAAAGAAAATTTAAATTATTATGTATTTATTATATTACAATTACATTTTTGAAAAATTATCTGGATATTGGTAGAACTG